TGTTAGCTTTGAGTGGATGCTGCTCAACTGTTCTAGTAAGTTCCGCACAGATGTGAGAACTTGTTCATCATAATCATGAGCTGTTTTCTTTCCGGTTTTGACCCTCCCACTATGGTGAATYGTGCTTGCCAGGTCTTGTCGTACTTCAGCCTCTATATTTGTTAGGGAAACCTTGATTTTTTCAATCTTTGTGAAGTTGAGCTGGATAGTGTTTCTATCGTGAGGCTTTGAAACTCTTTTCTCATTAAGGAGGTAACCTGCTTGAGAGGGGTCTTTCGTTGACATCAAACTTTTGATYTTGTTTTCCTCGCACTCTAGCTTTTTTTTTAGGCTGTACTCTCTCTTTGCTTCGGCATGAAAGAGCTTTTTGAATTCAGATTTTGGGYCACCAAAGTACTGCACCACCTCGTTGTAAAATGATTGACAAACTTGGTTATAAAAATGGTTCATCTGTGTTTTGGGGTTGGGGATCCATCCATAGCTTTTGTCAGGCTTTCTCAGGTCTTGTTTTTTCACTGTTTGCTCTTGCGATTTGGCTGGCTTTGAAGACAAAATTTCTTCATAGATTCTTTTGAGACGCTGTGCCTCAAAAACACTCAAACCTACAAAATTAAAAAAATCCTTTTTTTATTGTATATATTTAACTTCCAAAGAGTCCTTTTTTATTTTGACTTGTAAATTATTGAAACTATATTAAATGATTAATTATATTGTTATTATTTCAAGTATAGATTATATTATTATTTTATTGAATAACATTTATATTAGATTTAATATTTATAAAAAAATATTGTATGTTTTGTAATATATATATAATGGAACTCGATATTTATTCCAGATTGTAAGCCTAAAACTTCAATCTATATATYCTTTATAATATTTAGAATACAGTAYTAAAGCTTGCTCTATTAAATATAAAGCTTAATCTATGCTTGACATTCTCTTGACATACCTAGTTCTTCTTGAAGAGACGATACATCAGCATCTTTCAGGTGTTTAACTTTTTTTATTCCATTCCTTAGAAACGAATGTAASTGTTCTTCTAAATCTGCTTCTTTAAGTATTAACAGGATGTCTGCAGACTYATCGACAAGGTTTATTACGCTAGAAGCAATGCTAGAAGCCATCTTTAATTTTATTCCAGGACTGCTGTCTTTGTAAGTCAGCAGTAATGCACACAGGTAGCCCAATCTCACTTATTTGAACTTTTAACATAAAAATTAATTAAGAAAAACTGGTTTCTTTATCTTTACCTTTATATGTCGTGGAGTAATGTCTTGTGATAGACCTGATAAAGTCTGGCTGAATTGGAGTAAGATTTTKGAAAGTCMACTTCCTGCAAATTGTGCGGATTGGGCTACCTGTGGTAATGCACAGACCATAAAGATTGCTGGCTCAATCGTTGTGCAAATGTACAGTCAGAGTGTATAGTGATGGAATCTAATTTAAAGGRGTCTGATTTATCATGTTTTTCTCAACCAATTATCACCGAAAATAGATCTCCAGAGCCATTTCGTTCAGTATCTATTCGTCACAAATCAAAGGAAAGCGACAAACTACGAATATCACTACAGGATTGCCTCTTAAAAGACAATGAAATGAAGCTAGAGTCATTACTTGCAATGTCAAGAAACAAGCATGGACAAAGAGCTAATTCAATATATGGTTTGTTGTTTGTGTTGAATCAACTAACAGTGAAAAATAAACATGGACGAATGGCAGGATACCTTCCATTTCAAGAAGCTTATGAAATGTATTGTGGCTTTTTTGACATCTCTCCAAAGCAGGAAACATTCAGAGATCATCTTTTGCATCCTGACTTTGGCCTATGCGTTATTATTGTGGACTTTTTTCCTGGACATAGGTAAGCTTATGTTTAATCACTGGTGCAACAATAATGTCATACTTAATAATTTGACAGTATGTAATTAATACTTATATGAATGTTTTATCATTGTCATATTAAATCTTCTCCAGTATTAAATTGTTTATATTTATATTTTAATAATATTATTAAGCTTATGTGCTTGGTGAATAAATTCACTTCAATATGAACTACAAAAATATATTCATGATAAACATTTAATTAAGTTAACACAGGGCTGATTCGTTTATATTATTGTTATACTATTCAAATTATAAGTGAATGTTTTTTCATTTGTTTTACAGATTCATCGTGTTAAAATCTGATGACATTGACATACCCTCTGTGATGAGTGAGACAATTGAAATGTTCAATGWACATAAAGAGAATGACTGTAAAAGAATATTGTTAGAATATGATGTTGTAAACCATCTTTTGACATCAATGGATACTGAATATGATAGAAATGTGGCAAAAACATTCTTAGCAGCACTTTTATCACGTCCAGAGTTATATCATCTAGGAATAAAACCAGACAGAATTGTTAAACAAATGCCTAAAGTGATTGAGTCTTCAAAAGAAACAATGAATGCAATGGAGGCGGCTGAAGATATGATGGTTATCCGCTTGAAAGACAGACAGGCTCGTATTGAAAAGCAAGTGCAAGAAAGTGAAAAAAAAAGCTTAACAATAACACTCTTTCAGATAAAACAAAGGCCGAGCTCACTGATGCTATTGAATTATTGCAAGTGAGAAAGCAAGAGACCAATAATCTGTTAGCCAGGTCAGATAAAAGCAGTTTGAGGAAAYTCCAGCAAAGTAAGAAAAGACTTGCAAGCCAACTATTGGATGAGAACAGAGTAAAGAGGAGAAAACTGGGAGCTGGGCGACCGGAGCTAATAGGAGCTRAAGAAGAAGAATTCATAGCAAAGTGTATTGCAGATAAAAGTACTGCCCATGRAAGACGGCATGACACAACTATGTATCTTAATAATCGGGTTAAACAACGTCATTTTCTATCTTTAGCCAACTATCACCTATTGAAGAAAGGCAAGAAACTTATTAGATCAGCAACAACTGTCTACAATCGATCAAGACCAAAGAACATAAGATCAAGAGCAGCAAACCAACATAAAGGCAAATGGTTGTTCTGTTATAAGAAACCGCCCAAAGCAGAGGATGATTCTGTGGAGACTACACATCATCAGAGAGCACATGTAAAGAATGCAAAGATAGAACTTGCTAAGCAAAACCCAGGAAATAGTCTAGTTTGCAGTATGGATGACAAGGCTTACCTCAGACCAGGAACAGACGGTAAGTTTCCTTTTTATTGCATATTATTATATGCATCTAGCAAAATTGTTCAAGTTGTTACTATTAATATAAAATATCAATCAACTTTTAAAAGCAAGTTTAACCAAAATGTTAACTATCTAATTGTTTGATCTTGTGTTTGTTAAATTTTTATTACTGTTTCTATCATGTGCACTTCTTATTGCTATTTCAGTTGGATTTTGTGGAATGAGAAAGGGAGGGCTCTATGATGTGAGTGATCAAACCAAACAGAAAGCGCTACCTCAGCACGATTTCAACATACCCGAAGTCAATGTCACACCAAGTTCATTTAGGTTCTTGAAGTACAGCATGGAAACTATAGAGGGTAATTATATAACACTGTGTTTTCTCATGACAACAGTGATTTACAACCACTGTCATATAAATGTTCTTAATATTATTTAAAAATAATAATTGCGAATGTTTGATACAGGTAAAGAAAAGCTCATTGCTGCATCTGACCAAAGTATTGTAACATTAAGACCCAAGTACTATATAGGGAGTTCAGGAACAGTGTGGGCTAGTGACTATGT